TGTTTAATAGTGTTAAATCCAAAGCAAGCTAGCATGTAGGTGTCCCCTACCAATATTGACTAGTATATTATCACACCACATCTAAATGCCATTTGCAAAGCAGTGATAGGTATTATTTAGAAAAAATGAAGAAAATCATTTTGTTAAAAAAAAAAAAAAAAAAAAAAAAAAAAATCCCTACCTACCTACCCTAATTTTTTTGGAAGTGTAACCGGAACCACACATATTTTTTTGTTTGGCCTCATTTATTTAATACTCATGAGCAGAGAAGATTTTCAAAGATATAATGCATTTTCACTATATAATCAATAGAGCCCCGCCCTAACACTAGAACCCCTGACCCAGGGGCCATAAAATTCACAATTTTGGAAGAGGCAGCCATGCTTATTATAACTATGTACTTAGTTAATTTATTTAATACTCCTGAGCATAGAAGAAGATTTTCAAAGATATATTGCATTTTCACTATATAATCAATAGAGCCCCACCCTAACACCAGAACCCCTGATCCAGGGGCCATGGAATGCACAATTTTGGAAGAGACACTCTTGCTTATCATAACTATGTACTAAGTTAGTTTATCTAATACCCAGGAGCAGAGAAGAAGATTTTCAAAGAAATAATGCACTTTCACTATATGATTTATATAGCCCCACCCTAGCACCAGAACCCCTGACCCTGGGGCCATGAATTTCACAATTTGGTAGAGGGCTCAATGCTTATTACAATCATGCCAGCAGTTTTCACTGCTTGATGTCCAGGAGTAAAGAAGATTTTTAAAGATTGCATTAATTTTGGTGGTTTTAGCCCCACCCCTCAGGCCCCAGGGGGACAGGGACCATGAAATTCACAATTTTTGTCCCACTTCACCCATAGATGCTATATGCCAAAATTGGTTGAAATTGGTTGAGTGGTTTCAGAGAAGAAGCTGAAAATGTTTAAATGTTAACGCACGACGCACTACGCACGACGACGGACAAAAACGGATAGAAATAGGTCACCTGAGTGACTCAGGTGACCTAAAAACGGAAATAGGAAGGCACAAATATAAATACAAAAGCCTCCAAGATGCATCATGCCCATCGTTTTATTTATCACAAGGAACTTCATCATGTTTACATGTACACGATTTATATAAGTAGCATCTGCAAAATCCCATGCTGTAACAGATATTTCGACATTGAGAATGAAGACTGCCAGTTTGATTAGGATGTTTTAGAAGTTAACAAGGGCATTCAGAATTTCTTGTGGCTTTATTAAATAAAATAATTTCAGTTAAAAAAAAAACAAAAAACAAAATGGCGACGACGATCATAAAATGAACTGACGATCACGATGATGGTAAAGCTACCTATCGAGTATTACACAAAAAATGGCTTTAAAATAAATTTGATGACTTAAAAAACAATATTACGGGAATTTTTGGTGTTTTTATGAACTAATTTAGTAATTAATTATTTCCTTTTTTGATCACGTGACTCTTACGAAGTCTACGATTGGTCAACAACGAAGCGCGGATTTTTTCAGAGACGATTTGAAAATTGGCGGGATGGAAATGTCGAGAACAAAAAGGAGATAAAGAAGTCGGTAAGACTACATTTATATTTAAAATTTTATATGTTGTTTGCAGGAAATGCATTTTACCACTTTAGAAATGTATTCAGTGGAGAATTTCAATGTAGATTTTACGTAATTGTGGACATTTGTGTCTTCGATTTCTGGTTTGTTTTGATCAGTATGACGATGTATATAAACTTAAGTTAACATACTGAAACATGCTTTTTCTCTGGCTCAATGTAACATGAATCATTTAGTTCCTTGACATATTCAATTCTTCAAATATTTCAGTATAATTCATGCAATAGGTTTATAATACAGTCAGCATTGGTCAGTATCTAGGAACATTTACTGTAGCCTAGCTAAGTCTTGGCATGATAAAAAAAAAATACATATCAAATCTACTGAATTTTGTAAGATTAAAGTTTGTAAAAGTAATGGATTTTTGTTAAGCATGTTAAAAGGGAGGATAGTGTGTGTGTTGTGGTTGGTGGTGGGGGGATTGGGGGTTGAAGGGGTAGTAATAATCATGTGGTTGATTATAAACAACCAAAAAGTATCAGCATTTACATGTATCTGAAAAATTTAAAGTTGAACTGGATAGTTATACTGATCATCTTTCCAGGGTGAGAAGAACTTAAAGGGGGGGGGGGGGGGGGGGGGCTATATAAACATAATACATGTATTGAGACACGTGATTATTTTTCTATTTGCTCATATAACATTAAGAATTTAGACAGGGATATCAAAATCACTTTACAATTTTTCAAAATCATTGTCAGGTTTAAAAAAAAATGAAAATAATTAAATGTTTGTGTGTGGATATTATAATGCCAGAGAAGTTCTTAAACATTCAAGTTACCTGCTTTTTCTTTTATAATTTTCAGCAGTGCATGCATGCGTTTTTTGCCATGAGCATCTCTCTAACATGCAGAGCCATAGGAAAATGCTTCAACAATTTAAGTGTATCTTATCATCAGTAAGTACATATTAATCTAATTTGATTTCTGTAAAATACAAAATAGACATATCAAATTAGTAGGCTTGTCTGTCCTTAATATACTCATGCACTGAAAAGACTTATTTTAAAATTTTATAAGTGATAGGGATGATTGGGGTTAATTTTTTGGATTTTCACATAAGAATTTTGAGTTTTAATTGGTTTTCAAGTAATTTGAACATTAAACTGAATATATGATTCTATATGTCAGTCTGCCATGTATTAAGCACAGGAATTCTGCTTTTTGAGAACACGTTTGATTTAAAACTGAAAAAAATATGCTTTGATTATTTAACTTTTTTTGCAGATCCCAAGGAAAAGTACTTAAAGGCTGAAATCATTTAGCGTATTCAAATGAAGATCAGTTGAAAAAAATGGGCGACATTAACACTGCTATGCGGTCAAAGGCTAGTGCACTGAATTGTGTCAGCAAGAAAATTCAAAAAGGAGGGAAAGATGGGATGACTGGACTGTGAAGGAGCGGAGATGATCTGTGAGCGTGATCAATCAGTGACATAACCATGCATTATGTTATTTACAGAATTATAATCTTGTTGATGATTTAATGTTCCAATATATTCTTTAAATTATTTATGGAAGATTAGTACTGAAAATAATGAATAATGTAATGAAGATGTGGGGTATTTTGATAAAAGCTAGCATTTAAGATTTTTGAATTGTAGCTAATGTTTCATAGAGATTTCCCCGATTTCCGGTTTCTCTGATTTTTTTTTTGATAAGCTGAATTTTTTTCCCTATACTTCATATTTTTGTTAAAATTTCATGCTTTCAAAATACAATTTTGTATCTTTAATTGGTTTTATTTTGGTATACCTCAGCTTAATGGTCATTTTTGAGGTTTTTCATTGTTCTTTCAAAATAATATAACGTATTTTTTTTTTTTTTTTAAAAAAAAGGTGGGGGGGGGGGGGCTAACTTTTTTTGTACCAACTAAAAAGTATACTTTTTTCGTACTTTCATTTAATTTTGACATTTTATTGTACTTTTTTAAGCATCAATCTAAAGAAGTACTATTTTTATACTTTTTCTGCATACATTTTTGTACTTTTCTCTGGAAGTATACTTTTTTTGTACTTCATACATTTCTGTACTTTTTTCTGGAAGTATACTTTTTTTTTGTACTGGAAGTATACTTTTTTTGTACTTCATACATTTCTGTACTTTTTTCTGGAAGTATACTTTTTTGTACTGGAAGTGTACTTTTTTTGTACTTCATACATTTCTGTACTTCTTTCTGGAAGTATACTTTTTTTGTACTTCATACATTTTTGTACTTTTTTCCAGATGTACTTTTTTTGTACTTTTGTATGTTAGTTTTAAGAATATACTTTTTCTGTACTTCCAATTATACTTTTTATGTACTTTTTCAAATATAGAAATGTACCAAAAGTATACTTTTATTATCATTTTTTTGTAACCAAGAACCTAAGTTCTCATAAAGCACAAAAAAAGTATACTTTTTTTTACTCAATTTGGAACGACCAAATCCCTTGTTCCAAATTTAGTCAAAAAAAGTATACTTTTTGTGACCTTTTTTTGTACTTTTTTTGTACTTAATTTTGGTATGGGTAAGTTGTTTAAACAACAGATTATGATATTGTGCAATGATAAAATGTCTTATTCATGCCTCCATCCTGCAGTCCTTTCAGTACTTTGTTTAAAGATGGCCTAATTTAATGTGTAATTGCTTACAACTTCGATCCATCAAGGATTTCCAAACACTGATCAACCAATTGATTAGACAATGAACAGGCTTGTTATTCAGGGGGGAAGAGGGGGCAGGAGCGGGCGCATCTGCTTTTTGAGAAAAGTCTTTTTGCAATGTAAATATTCATTTTGACGCTGCTTGCTCCTTCCCTCCTTCCACCCACACTTTTTGTTGCTGTAAGGTCGAGCTCGTGCAAATTCCAGCATTTGAAATGACAAAAATTCCAGAAACTTAGAAAAATCCCACCCCCCACCCCCCGGCCCCCAATTTGAGTCTGTGTGAACAATGGATTTCACACTTTGCCGCTCCGTTGACCACAGATTGTAGTTATTCTCGCCGCTCCATTGACCACAGATATTGGCGTTACAAATGTAATTCTGTATTTCTCATTTAAAATTTATATCTTTCATTTCTTTGCAATTTTTTTTTTTGCCGCCCCTTTGCCGAGCCCTTGATTTAATAAAGCGCCAAAACAGAATTCGCAAAAATAACGCGTTGCATTCCTCTCGCTTCGCTCGCGAAGCTCACTGATTATTTGTTTACGTTGCTTTATGGATAAAACTGCCGACTCCTGTGCTAGACCTGATCAGACTGATAGGATTCAACAGCCCGGATTTACTCAGATTTTCGTCACGGCCGAGCAAAAAAAAATTAAAACAAATAGAATAAATAAAAATAATAAATCAGAGCTGTACAATAAAAATCCATGAATACCAAAATATGGTCGATAAACAGTAAAACTCCACTTCGTTTGCTAAGGGGGACTTCAGCCACTGCGAACTCGGAAACTGCGAAACTCAGAATGTCGTCAAAAATGATAATTTCAATCTAGAGGAGTTCCGAAATATAAACGGAAGTAAATATGTGGTCTAAGTCCGAATCCGGTCGTGTTAACTGGACATATCAAGTTTTTATATCTTTCTTAATTACATTAAAAATCACAATATTTTATTTAACTGAATAATACATTTATCATGTCATATTAGTCATCGAATTTTTGTTACAGTCAACCTGATATGTTATAGAAAATTTGTAACTAAGTCCGGATATTGTGCATCTGCGTATATATGTTCTTTCTTTTACTTATTTGTCGTCCATCGGTTTCAGGTATTTTGAAACTGCTAGGGAATAAAATCCGTCGCCATCGGTGTATACGGGGAATGAAAAATAAAAAAAATACACATGGATAAATTTGTTACATCTTAAAACTATTTATTTGTTTCAACGATTTTGTTCACCAAAGTAATCAAAAAGAGTTAGCGATGTTAGTCACCACGTTGAAAGCTAAATGTTTACAAAATGAGCATGATGAGTAAGAGTAAAATAAAATGAGGGGCATAGAATTCTCCTACTCACCTACTAAGTACTTTTCTGATATTTTTGTACTATTCTGTTAATCATTATGTTTGAATTTTCTTCTCGGATGAAAATGTTTAAAAGTTTCGAATTTGTTCAGATTATCACCTGTCGCTATGTTTTTCTGGAATAATTATTGCTAATATGCCCTTCTATTAAATGACTGTGCAATTTAAAAAAAAAAATTAGATCCCTATGTGTCTAAATAATATTAAATAAGATAGTTTATATTATAAAGTTTATGGTACAGAAACACAAAGATAATAAGCAAAATTTTTTTTAGCCATGGGCAAGTTTATGAAACCAGGCAAAGTTGTGCTTGTATTGAGTGGACGATTTGCTGGGAGAAAGGCAGTTATTGTCAAGGTGAGTCATTAGTTACATTTAAGAGATTGGGCACACTTCCCTTATATACTGTTATGCTGAAGGGGAATTGTTCCTCTTTTCAGTAAAAAAAAAAACATAAATGTATAATGGGATTTTCTTCATGTTTTTAAAGTTAGGTAGGAAATCTGTTTACCATAATTTATGACTATATGTCGATGCTTTAAATAGGTCTAAAGACTCGTTTTTAGCCTTGTAATTTTTACAAAATCCTCAGATGACCAGGGTCAAACTAGATTAGATTAGACATAGGAATATATTGAAAGTTCGATATCCTAAGAATCCTCTGCTTACAGTCATCTGCAATCTTGGTACAATGGTTCCCCTTGAAGAGTAGATGACCCATAATGCTTATGAGGTCACATGATCAAGGGTCATAGACTAAGGAAGATACTGACCACTCAATTTATTGGGAATCCTTTGCTTTACAGACATTAAATTTGGTACACTTGTAGTCCTAAGAAGTAAATTACCCCTAACAGCATTTTTTTTTCCTTGTATAACTGGTACCGATAAACGGTACCATTCCCAATGCCAAAAAATGTTAATTTTTCCCAATTTTGAGACTAAAAATTAACAATTCAACTGCCTACAACAAACTACAATGACATTGTATTTCTTTTTAAATGAAACATTGTACAAGTTGACTAATTGTTTCACTACTGCTTAAATGGAAAGTAGAGATTAGTCGTAATAACGGGACCTATGGTGTAGACAGCGTAATGTCATACATTTTGACAAATTGAAAGCATGAAAATGTGAAAACAAGGGACATTGATATGAAAAACGATAAATACTTGTTGTTTATTCTTTAAAACACAGAGTAATAGGTAATGAGGTTGGAATAAATGCAAAATATGTTTCATTTGTTTAAAATGACTGAAATTTCTCCTTTTTGAGGCACATCGCTATAAGCGATGTAGCCTCATTGCTGACGACCCCCAATTCTTTCTTTCAATTACTGCGTCGACAAAGGACTCGTTGATTCTAAATACGCTATTGAAAATAGTGCAAATGTATATTGACAAGTTGGTGATATTCATTGTCTTTTTTAAATATCAAATAACATAAACTCTCACATATACCGAGGTATATGTTGTTTATACGTTGAAAGCAAGAAAGAAAACAAAAAAGAAACAAACAAACAAAAAAGAGAGAGAGAGAAAACAACAATAAACACGTGGAGTAAGATCTATTTGCATCACAACAGCTCGTACTGTAAATAATAGGCCTTGTAAGGCGACATTGCTTGAAGGAATATCTGTGAAAAATATACAATAATTTTATTTTATAAAACAACACAAACAATAGGAACCAGGGCTCTTACACCACTTTTTGGGAATGGGGCTGGGACTGTTCAAATTAGGAAAATTACCGTCATTTTGCGAAAATTAGGAAAACCAACATTAAAAAAAAAACCCTTAATTTTGTCATCAATTTAATTATGGTTTTGAATAAACTGTTAAACAAAACAAACATGGGTAGGTTATTTATGGAAGTACATTGGCTTTGCTCATTACTAACTTTGAGTGTTGAAAGAACTGCGAACAAGAGTATTGTTCTCCTGCCTACCTCCAAGTCAATTTTCAAAAGTTAACATATTTGAATGATTTTTCATATTTTTGTAGATATTTATATGAATTTTCATAAAATATTACTTATTTAGGAAAACAAAGAGAGATAACTGTATAATTTTGGTAAAACTTGTGTTTTTCACTATAGAAATCAACGGAGAACAGAAAATATTTTTAAAACATCTTCCCCCCCCCCCCCCCCCCCATGAAACAAAAATTCCTTTTTACAGGTAATATGGATTGTTATTTCACAAATTCATTCCAAAGCTTTTTGTGTTTCACAGGGGAAACATATATTTACAGACAAAAAACGACAAAAATTATCATTTTTTCACCAATTTCAAATGGGTTTACAACTTAAACATTGTATTTTATCAATTACATATGCTTGATTTTATATGCATAAAACATAAGAAAAGATATGAAAAACATTTATCCATATCCAAGAATATTTTAAAATATGCTGATGCTTTGAAGCCTGATTTCACTGAAAAACATCATCTAACCCCTTTTAAAGAGCTAGAATTAAGAGTAACTATTTAACACTGGTATTAAAATTATTAATCATTTACCATTGAACCCTTCTTTGCATTCAACAAAGATTTTATGGCCAAATTGCCATTAATATTGAATTAAATGGGTGTAAAATTTAGGCGGGAATCCAGAGTTAGCGTGCGTAGTTCTTATGGTTGTCTTTCTGAGTGACAGTTGCTAGTCACATCCTCCCGAATTTCCTCGATCACATGGTCATCATGGCTTTCAGATTCAGCACGAGACTGACTGGTGGGCGTGGTGCTAGGCACAGTTTACAGTTGTTTAAATAAAATGTCTATTTTTTGGCACCTAGATGATGTTTTCTTGTCAATTTTCTTGACATAATACTTTGCATTATGGCTCATTGTTACCTCAATCCATAGTAACAATAACCTGGTTCTCTGAACCAATTTACGAATATATGGCATGAAATAATACAGTCGTACATAGAAATAGTTTGTTATGCCCCACCATGAATGTGGCCGGGGCATATAGTGTTTGTCATGTCCGTCTTCCGTCCTTCTGTCCTTCCGTCACACTTTGCGTTTAGCTCTGTTCAAAGCTCAGTTTCAAAGAAACTATCCAAGATATTTTTATCAAACTTCATATGCTGATAGATATCGATGAGAGCTATGCAACTGCATCAACATTTTTTTACCTTGACCTTTCCTTTGACCTTGACCTCACTTTTCTTAAACTAGTGTTTAGCTCAGTTTTAATGAAACCATTCAAGATATTTTTAACAAACTTCATATGCTGATACATACTGATGAGAGCTATTCAACTGCATCAACATTTTTTACCTTGACCTTTCCTTTGACCTTAACGTCAGGCCAAAAAAAATAATAGTCCTGTTTCCTGCTACCAGCCTGAAAAAAATAGGGTAGGTAGGTAGGAAAATTATTTTATTTTTTTATTTTATTTTTTTCCAATGGTATTTTTTGGATATGAACTAATACAAAACCAAATTAAACATGTCGTAGGTCAATATTATCTTTTAAATTTAAATTTCATGTCTTTTGATGCACAACTCAAGTGTTATTTTATGAAAGTCCATATCTAAAACATACAAATTCATGAAATACCACTTGAATATATATTTTTAAGTTTTGGAACATGAAATTCCTCAAATTCCCGATTTTTTTTCCCAAAACTAAAAAAAAAAACTTTAGGGTCGGGTGCAAAAAAATAGGGTAGGTCGGGTAGCAGGAAACAAGACTATTATTTTTTTTGGCCTCACTTTTCTTAAATAAGTTTTTAGCTCAGTTTTAAAGATACCATTCAAGATAGTGTTATCAAACTTCATATGCTGATACATACTGATGAGAGTTATTCAACTGCATGAACATTTTTTGACCTTGACCTTTCTTTTGACCTTGACCTCACTTTTCTTAAATTAGTGTCAAACTTCATATGTTGATACTGTACATACTGATGTAAGCTATTCAACTGCATCAACATTTTTTTACCTTGACCTTTCTTTTGACCTTGACCTCACTTTTCTTAAATTAGTGTTTAGGTCAGTTTTAAAGAAACCATTCATAATATTTTTATCAAACTTCATATGCTAATACATACTGATGTAACCTTTTCAACTGCACACCAGTTTTTGACCTTGACCTTTCCTTTGACCTTGACCTCACTTTTCTTAAATTAGTGTCAAACTTCATATGCTGATACATACTGATGTAAGCTATTCAACTGCGTCAATTTTTTTCACCTTGATCTTTCTTTTGACTTTGACCTCACTTTTCTCAATTTGTGTTAAAATGTTGCATTACTAATATACCCTCAGCGGGGCATTCATGTCCTATGGACATATTTCTAGTTTCACTTGTGTTTGTTTTTTGGCGATTTAATCGATTTTGATGTTTTAAAAAAATATTTTGCTATAGAAAATTGGGAAATTTACACCTTTCTTTTGGGAAAAAAGGTACCTTTTTTGCATTGGGAACGGGGCCATTAAAAAACTGCAGTGACTGTGGATTTCAATTTATAGGATTACCAATACCTTATAAACATAGACATTTTGAGTTCAATCCTTACGTCAAGGTTTTATAGAGCAAATTTTATCGAAAATATCGGAGGAAATCGGCCACCATTGATGGGTTTCATAGTATGCCGTATACCACGCCCGATTGTTTTTTTAGTCCCGTATTTATATTTATATGAACATTTCATGTATCCCACTTTGGTTTACGTATTATGCCGTTTTGATTGAGAAAACTAGTCTAAGACAAAGTATTGATATAAAAAAAAGTGCACATAATGAAAGAAACTAAAAAAAAAAATTAAATCAGATATGATATTATATAGAATTATTCAATAATCATTCCTTTCTAAATTCTCATTCATTATTTCATCTTCCTACTATGATAATAATGAAAGAATAAAAATAAAAGCATAATTAAAATCATGCATGCATTTAAATTAATTTAAACATCAATGAATTATAATTTATATATCAGTCTATCTTTAAAACAAATGTTTGTTTGACCTCTCCCGACCGACTGGCTCAAAATGCCAAGACTCAAAACATTTTTTAACCTCAAAGAAACGATATTTTAATTTTTATTTTTATTCCTTATTTTCCCTCAACATGTAAGTTGAATTTTTCTGAGAATTTTTTTTTTGAGTTTTCTATCTTCAATGTGATGCACCTCTCAGGCCTTCAGGCCTTTGATTTCTACTTTGATGCTATTTGTCCAAATTGAACCGATACTGGACCCTTTCCCAATGGGTAGAAAAAAATCGCTGCCTAATGATATTGAGATCTGAGAAAGATCAAATTAATTTAGTATATCGCCAAACCCCCCAACTCCGTCACTACCTTAAATCCGTCACTTACGGGAAACACTCAGCTGTTTGTAAACGAATGTGATTGTGACATCATTTTTTACATGCTGAAAATCTACAATCAAATTATTACAGTCAAGTTCAAGAATGTGCCAAAAATAAATAACAATTACACGTGATCTATTGTATCTATCATATTTTATGTGAAATCAGTCAGCACTTTTTCCTTTATGTGCTACTCCATCGATACTTAGCTCCAACAACATGCTCATTTTTACATGTCAGTCATATTTATGAAGGTCTTTACCAAAGGATTAATATGACATACCATATTGAATACGGCTAAAAATATTTTATTTTTCATTTCAATTTGCCCTAATACGCTACACGTTGAAGATGACGTTATTACATGTAAAATATGTTATATTAATGTTATTTTTTCTGTTGATACTTTTCCTAAAATACAATTTAATACTATTTTAAATCTTCAAAACTAATTTTCCATGCTTAAAAGTTTAAGATGAAGGGAGAAAAAACTAAACTGGAAAAAAAATTTCTAATTAATACGTTGACATATTGTAGAGGGCCCTGATGACGGAGTTAGGGTTCATTGGATGTAATGTACATGGGGATGTGGTACAGGTTTTTTTTATAGTTTTGTATGAGCCCAATAACTGAATTTTTAAAAATATTTCTGAAAACAATGTTTAAGTTCATTACTCAGTGTAGCAAACAAGAAACAAATCAAAAAATAATTCAGAGAGAAACGTGGCATGTTTTCCGCTTATGGGTATAATATTTCACTTTGTCCCTACTAATAGATGACCAATTACTTTCACAGAGTTCTCATTAATACAAGAATCTGCATACTGGATGTAGCAAATTTATTTAGGAAGCAAGGTTCTTAAAAATGATGCGTCCGTGGACTCAAGAGTGGACACATCCTTGATAGCAAGAAAATTCGAGTGTCTTCGAAATTCCAAGATTTTAGATGTCAGGATTTGTCCAAAACATATTAAATCAAAACCTTATTGTATATAATATTCAGTGAATAAGTTTATCCAAGAAGCATCTTTTGTTGTATCTATTTCTATATTTAAATAGGGATATGACTGATTAAAAGATATTTCGCAATTATTATTCCAAACTGCAATAATTGCAAACAACACGTGGTAGCTTTTTCTTTTCTTTCTTTTTTTTTTTTTTGGTAACACTTTTGAATCTTGTGTTTTATTTTGAGACCATAATTACTGCTTGTATACACAAAGTTGCTTGATTGTCTCCTGAATTTCACCCAGTGCAGACGACAGGATTAGTTACGCCTCAATGCACATGGAACCTGTGATTGTATATGGTCAACTGTAGAGTACTTGATTATGCAGCTGTTTATTTTAGCTTTATAAACATGTGTTAATTTTGATGGCAATTAGTTATACATGTATTTAAGAATATAGCTTGGATGCATTATCATTATCTATACATATTTGAATCTTAGATCAAATAATTAGAGTCTGTTAGAATAAAGATTTTTATTGATGTTTAGGTGGAAAGATACTGCAATAATTCAATTGGGACTCAATATAATTTTTTTGGGATGCATCAAATTTAGCTGGGACTCAACCTTCTCAGAAACCTTGAGTCTTGGGACTCGAGTTAGCAAATCCTAGGGAGAACCCTGGCTTTCACTATCATATCAGACATTCTAAATTTAGAGTTGTTCCATTTTAATATTGCCACAGTTGGAAGGGGGAGGGAGGGGCTTATATGTTTCACAAACATTTCTTGTTATAGTTTCATTTTAGAGTTTTTCTTGGGTTGAGATTTTGTATTCCAACCTTTAATCCCACCATTAAATGCAAAACGCTCTGCCTGGTCCTTTGCTGACTAGTCCCAGTTTTCTAGTCTTGTTTAAAATTGCAGAACCACGATGACGGCACACAAGACAAACCATATGGACATGCTCTTGTAGCAGGAATTGACCGTTACCCACGAAAAGTGACTAGAAAGATGGGCAAGAAGAAGATGAAGGACAGGTCTAAACTGAAGGCTTTCCTGAGAGTATATAACTATAACCATCTGATGCCCACTCGGTATGTCCATAACTATTACAGACTTTACATTGGAAGATATTTATCCTGTAATATTATACTTTCATGTAAATAACTTGAATTTTTAGTCCTTCTGAGCCAAAGGCTCAAGGAGCTTAATGCTATGGCCATTTGTGCGGTGTGCATAAACTTTTTAGAATTTGGGCTATAACTCAAGAACCCCTTGGCCAATTATTGTCAAATTTGTCACAGGGTATCCTTGGCCCAAGAGCTCCCATTTGTACTATAACTAGAGTTGTGACCCGTAAACAAGCGAAGATAATTAGGTAAATAAAACCAAAAGAACTGGTTGCTAAAAAATCTTCTCAATAACCACTGGGCAGATTATCATCAAACTTACATAAAAGGATGAGGATATGTTGTAGATTAAATTTTGCACAGGGAATCGCTCTGGGGCAAAGGGCGTGGTATCAAGGTCACTTCAAAGTTAACCAAAAATTACATTTTATAAAAATGTTATTTTGCTTACTATAAGGACTAGGTATTTTGCTTACTATAAGGACTAGGATCATCAAATCTTGTAAGATGATGCATCTAATGACCTCATATCCTTGACTCAAAAGTAGGTCACGGTGACCTACTTTTAAAATTTTGCGGCCATTCTTTTTCAAAATGATTTAGAGGCATATTTTGAACAATTTAAGGCCTATAATCATTAAACTTTGTCAGTTGATGCATCTTGGGTCCTCGGGAGTATGTCAACTAAAAAGTAGGTCACCTTGACCCACTTTTTGAATTTAATGGCTAATCTTTTTCAAAACATATAAGGTCATTAATTCAACTACTGAGAGGTTTAGAATCATTAAATCTTGTAAGATGATGCATCTTGGGGCTATAAAACATATTTATTAAAAAGTAGGTCACAGTGACCTACTTTTTGAACTTTGCAGGCATTTGATTTCAAAGTGTTTTAAAGGCATATTTTGGACATTTTAAGGCCTATGATCATAAAACTTTGTAAGTTGATGCATCTTAGGTCCTCATAAAACGTCAACTGAAAAGTAGGTCACCGTGACCTGCGTTTGAAATTCTATGGCTATATTTAAATATTTTGGGTACTATTTGGCTTAGAATCATTGATTGATTGTATGTTGTTTTACATCCCATTCGAGAATTTTTCACTCATATAGAGACGTCACCATATACCGGTGAAGGGCTTCAAATTTTGACCTTTACTCGGCACTCAGGGCCATTGAGCAGTGAGGGATCTTTTATCGTGCCAATGCCTGCCATGACACGGGACCTCGGTTTCTAAGGTCTCATCCGAAGGACCCGCAACTTTCACTTCAAAGTGCCGAGCGCATGGCGAAGGAACAGTTGCTACCCATTTTTTATCGACTTAGACCTGTCACGGCCGAGATTCAAACTCACGACCTTCCCGATCATGGAGCGAGCGCTCTACCGACTGAGCTACCGTGAACGGTACTTAGAATCATTTGTCAGATGTATCTTGGGTCCTCGGAGTAGGGATGTGCGATTTTATCGGTATACCTGTATATCGGGATTTTTTATTGCGTGATACGTATCGTGATACGGAGACTAAAATACCGGTATTTGGTACATAACTATAAATTCCGGAAATTTTTCATTTATTTGTTCAAACTATGGAATGACAATTACAGGATGTGTAAAAAAAATGTTGAAAACAGTTAAACAACGGCATCCAAACAAGCTTTATATTAAATTAATAAAAATTTAAAAAGTAAAGTTATGTTTTTATAGCATATTTTTAAGAAATATTTTGGAAATTCATTTGAAATTGTAGTAAAAATTGTGTGTAAAAATATCATGATTTATCGTGATATTTGTGGAAAAAAATCGTGATATATCACGATACGAAATTTTTGCCCATACCCATCCCTACCTCGGAGTAGGTCGACTGAAAAGTAGGTACTGTGACCTACTTTTCAATTTATATGACTATAATTAAATATTTCAGGTACTAATTGGCTTAGAATCATCAAACTTGTCAGTTGATGCATCTTGGGTCTTCGGAGTAAGTCCACTGTAAATTTGGTTTCCTTTATGTACTTTTGAAAATTTATGGCTTTAATTAAATATTTCAGGTACTAATTGGCTTAGAATCATCAAAGAATGGGTGGACTTAACGCCCTATTTTGGATCTTTTTGCGACTACTCTACAAAGTTGTAAATGAAGTGAATCCAAAACATATTACAAGCAATAGAAAGAGTTACGTATACATGGTTATATTAGGTAGAAAATTTGTACAAAAGAAATGCCCTGTTGCCATGAATCAAAATTGAAGCAACAATACATTAGTGTCATCTTCCGGAATTTGGCATGTACCCGGAGTGGTTTTTAGGTCACGTAATCAATATTAATAGAAGGCGGGGCTATCGATCAGCATAATTGTTGACATCTCTCTCTCCCTCTCTCTCTCTAGAAATTAGAATATGTGTATGGCATATTACAGCGATGTCAATATGAAATTTTTTTTAAAAATGTGTGGACACGCAAAATTAAAACAACATTTAATTTGCTAAATTCTGAAAACGGCAACCAAACACGCTCAAAGACGTGATTTAGAACGAGGTCAGGTTGAAGAACACAATGTAACTGTTTTCACGAGTACACTCGCAGGTGGACATCACGTGATGAATTGTAATATTTAACAGGTCAATCGAAGTCAAATCAAGGTTAACTCAGTCATAACAATGGAAACAAGAAGTTCGTTTTGAACATGATTTTTGTTAAATTAAGTGTGAGCGCACGTTTGTCGGCTATTCTCCTTTTAATATGACATTATTTTGTTCAATATACAACTACAGTTTTCTTAAGAACAGCCGACAAACATGCGCTGACTATGTATTCAGCCGATGAAAAATGCGTGACCCTGATTATCTATTGATATTCAAGAAATCTTGCAGGCAAGACACCATGCCTTCGATATTTATCTAGTTTACTTGAAAAGAGGGTTTTAAATTCACATCTGTACCATGAATACACGGTTAAGATATCGGGGATTTATATGATGGAAAGAAATAAACATTTTACGAAACTTTAATTTACGGCATTTTTTCTGGCCAGTTAAGTCTACCCATTCTTTTGTCAGTTGATGCATCTTGGGTTTTCGGAGTACAACAACTGAAAAATAGGTCACCGTGACCTACTTTTGAAATTTTATGGCTGTATTTAAATATTTTTGGGTACTATTTGGCTTAGAATCATCAAAATTTGTCAGTTGATGCATCTTGGGTCCTCGGAGTACATCTACTGAAAAGTAGGTCACCGTGACCTACTTTTCAATTTATATGGCTATAATGAAATATTTTTGGGTACTAATTGGCTTAGAATCATCATAGTTTGTCAGTTGATGCATCTTTGGTCCTCAGAGTATGTTGGCTTAAATGTAGGTCACTCTGACCTACTTCTGGAATTTTATGGGTGTATTTTAATATTTTCGGGTACTAATTTGCTTAGAGTCATCAAACTTTGTTGGGTGCTTGGAGTATGTCAACTGAAAGGTAGGTCACTGTGACCTGATTAATTTTTTCTTTCAAGTAGTAATTGGCTTAGAATCATCAACCTTTGTCAGTTGATGCATCTTGGGTCCTCAAAGTATGTCAACTGAAAAGTAGGTCACCGTGACCTACTTTTGAAATTTTATGGTTATAATTAAATATTTTAGGTATTAATTGGCTTAGAATAATCAAACTTTGTCAGTTGTTGCATCTTGGGTCCTCGGAGTATGCTAACTGAAAATTAAGTCAACATGACCTACTTCTGAAATTTTATGGCTTTATAGAAATATTTCAGGTACTATTTGGCTTAGAATCATCAAACTTAGTTAGTTGATGCATTTTGGGTCCTCAGAGAATGAAAACTGATAAGTAGGCTACCACGACCTACTCTCAGGTACTAATTGGCTTAGAATCACCTTGGGTTCTCAAAGTGTTTCATCTAAAATGTAGGTCATGATGACTGTCCATTTGGAATTTCAAGGCTTTATCTAAATAAACAGGATACGTAGAGGCTTCAAATAGAAGTGATAGGTTGTACAGTTTATCAGAAGAGCGATTCAAGGCCCTTGGGCCTCTTGTATTCCTTGAGAAACATTTGTTAAAAAACATTGTTACGCTCTGAATGATGATGAAACAACGCCCTCCAGTGCAATAGAACTTAGCAACAGTCAACATTGGTTGAAGGGTGAAATTGAAAAAAAAAAAATAGTGACTGCACAGAATCTATGTGTGCACGCTTCACCTTTCTGTGTATAAAAAATTTAGTATAACATAATAAATACTACATATACTGCATTTCACTCATCGAAAACCATTGTCAACCTCGGCTGCGCCTCTGTTGACAATGGTTTTCTTGGGGTGAAATTTTCAGTGTTATCCTCAACTGCATGCAGTATTAATATAATGCTATCCTATACACTAAATAGCACTGTGGAAAGGAATTAAGCCTCTAGTTTAGCACCAGGCGTGTGGTATCAATATGACATATAATTTAGATGTAAGATTGCAATCCTGTCATAATTCTTTTGATGATGACAGCGATTTTTTTTCTACCTATTGGAAATGGGACCGGTACTGATTCAATTGGGAAAATAGCGTTAAAATATAACAAAGGGGAATTTTCTGTCATGTCAACAAATGAAATTTATTCTGCATTTAATCTAACTTCACTACCTGCAAAGAATAATCAACAAATATACAATGTTTGACATATAAATGTTCTTTGTTTTCATGTCAAGCTTTCAAGTTGTCAAAAATTGCGTGACTACACAGTCAAGAGCACGCCTCCTGCCATATTACCACTCATCTCTACATTCGATTTAAGAGGAAGTAAAACTTTGAGTTAACTCATAAAATGTTTCATATAAAAAAATTACAATATCATCGTAGTCTGTTCCTTGACAGTTAAATTTGGAATTTTTAGTCTCAAAATTGGGAAATTAACATTTTTTGGCGTTGGAAATGGTACTGTTTAGTGGTACTAGTTATATAAGGAAAAAAAAATACTGGATGAACATGATCTTTCTGATTTAAGCTGATAAAATCTATTCCAGATATTCTGTGGATGTTAACCTCGACAAATCTGCAGTCAACAAAGATGCTTTCAGAGACCCAGCTCTGAAACGCAAAGCAAGGAGGGATGTCAAAGCAAAATTTGAAGAAAGGTCAGTAAAATATATTTCCCATTACAAAACATTGCACAAGTTTTTCCAAGAAAGCATCACCACCATCTCATGTAATGGAAAACAAATTTTATTCACAAGAACTTTGCAAGTTTAGTATAGGGAAATCACCTTGGAAGCAAAAGTGTAATTAAAATTAGGTCTTTGAGAATTTGCTTAAAATGTTCATTTGACCAAGCCTTGTTCATCTTGAAAACCTGCAGCTTCATTGTCACTGAGATAGTGCTATCAATCCATCACATCCATTATTTCTACTTTGACATTTTGTAAATTTGTAGCATTTTTATAAAACTGTCTTGAGATGGGTTGTATTATAATATGATATTTCCTGTCCATCAGGATATCTATCAGTGTTTCTATTTGTCATTTAATTGTTTTGTTTCCTGTTCATATCTTTCACACTGAGGCTCATTCATTCATTTTGTCTGGCAGAAGATATAATCTCAGGATGTTTCAACCCCATCAAATCATCTGTGGTTTAATAATTTTCACATGGAATTTTTGTGACTTGTTGTCACCATTATGCTCTATATAATTACTTAAATAAAACCAGTCAACAGTAGATAAATTTATTGACTGCATTTGAGGGCAACATGCATTTTGTCCTACCCAAGAACCAAACTGCCCGAGTCCATTAGACTAAGTTCAATGTTTTTTATTAGCTTACCTGAGCTGAAAGTGTGTTTTTATCTCAGTCATGAAAATGCAGGTTAGTTTTAATTTCTAGTCGCAAAATTAATTTTTTGTTGCAATTGCAGAAATGGTTTTAGTTGCAACTTGGAGCATGTTTGGGGGTGTCTTTACCTACAAATACACACTTTTTGAGCATCAATCCTTCAGATTAGGGATCAGTTCGGGGTGACTTACGATATTGCCTGCAATAGCAGACTTTCTAGTTATTCTTCTTATTTTTTTGAATTTCTTATTTTGTGCACAAAATTTCTCAGAGTCTATTGGGTGGATTGGGATGAAATTCATAGGAAAAGCATGTCATAGGCTGAAGTTATTTTATCAGGGAGCAAGATCCTTAAATGATATCCGGTATTGAGTTTTGGACCATTTTCTAATTTTAAAATGAAATTTTGTCTAGATAATCTCAAGAACGACTAAAGATCTCAATGTAGGCCTTTCAACTTCCACTAGTGTTTGATGTAAAGAATGGTAACTCATTACTGGAACTGGTTTACAACATGTCCAAGTAGCTTATTTTTTTAAGTGTGTCAATTTCTAGCAATTTCAAGTACTTCTTCACTGTCAGTGGAATCTTGGTTTTAGGTATGTGCATTTCCAAATAACTGCAAGCCCTATAAGACCAAAATTACATAAATGTTACATCTAGGGATGCACAATACAAGATTATTAGTTTAGTGTGGGACTTTGCATTACTTAAAGACAACATTCATTAAGGCAATCTCTGTAATATCTGATTATGCTGTTGGCACTTCCTGTTGCCACTGGAAGTGAATTTCAAGAATCATTTTTTTTTACTTTTGTGTTTATAGCTCACAGGAGCTGAAAGCTCAAGTGAGTTTTCTCTGATCACCCGTTGTCTGTCCATCTGTAAACTTTTCACATTTTCAACTTCGTCTCAAGAACCACTGGTCCAATTCTAACTAAATTTGGTACAAAGCATTCTTGGGTTAAAAGGAGTTTAAATTGTTTAAATGAAGGGCCAGATCCCCTTCCAAGGCAAGGGGAGATGATCAAGAAAATGCAAAGAAAGGGTTGGGTCATTAAAAAATCTTCTCAAGAACCACTGGGCCAGAAGACGCCCACGTGGTGCAGTGCTCAGAGCGTTCGCTCTAGAGTCGCAGAATAAGGAGTTGATCCTTATGTCGTGGGTTCAAATCCCACTGTGGGACATAGAGACCAGTTCTTCAGATGAGACTATATAAACCGAGGTCCCATGTCGAATCCCACTGTGGGACATGGAGACCAGTCCTTTAGATGAGACTGTATAAACAGAGGTCCCATGTCGCAGTTGGTGCTGGCACAAAAAAGATCTCTCACTGCTCAATGGCCCTGAGAGTTTAGGTCAAAATTTTGCAGCTTTCCACCGGCAAGTGATGGCATCTCCATATGAGTGAAAATTTCTTGAGAGGGATGTTAAACAATAAACAAACAAACTGGGCCAGAAAAGTTAAAACTTATGTGGAGGCTTGTAGAGGTAGTGTAGATTCTAAATTGTTCAAATCATGCCCCACAGGGGTAGGGTGGGGCAAAAATAAAAAATCAAAGTTTTACATTGAAATATATAAGAAAAATCTTTAAAAATATTCTTCCCAAAAAGTACTGGGCCAGAAAAGCTGAGACTTGTGTGGAAGCCTCCTGAGGTAGTGTAGATTCTAAATTATTCAAATCTGGTAAAGAACAGCAGGGCCAAAGTTACACAGGAGAGCATCGTGGCCCATGGGCCTATTGTTCTGTGATACCAGTAGAGAAAATAGAGGATCTTACGAGCGTGTTAAATATATAATTTGTTTAAAGATAGATTAACCCATTTTCTAGCAGAGTGGTAGAAATTTTGAAAACATTGTCAGACATTTGGTCTAACAAAGTCAAATATTCTGTCGCATCGGACAATGTTTTGTCAGACCAGGTACATGTACGTTGAGAAAGGAAATAAATAACTGATCAAAATGCCCTTTATTATTTTCAACAGCTTTCAATCTCATAAGTTTCTTTTCTTAGGATAGAGAGTCTTTAATCAAAGACATTAATGACAAGTTTTATGTTTCATGTATACTAGTAGAATAATTATATTTGAATTCAAAAATGAAAAATCCCTGGGTTCAGGATAATTATATGTAATAAGGGGAAGGAGGGGAATCTAGTTCACAAGCACCTCTGATTATTGCACCTATTTCACTTTGGTTTATCCGTTGTATACTGGTATGTTACGAAGGGTGATCAAAAGTTCTTGAACTAATTGAATTACTTCTAGGGCTCACAGGTACTTGAGGACAGGACCCCCCCCCCCCCCCGACATAGACCTCCAGGCCTGTTCGACTTTTTTCTCATAAATTATATATTGATGACCCATCTGTGATATAATCTCTATATCATCCATTCGGAAAATTGACTTTAACAAACATTTTATAAAGGTTACTACCCTACCCTATATATAAAAATTAACAAGGTTGCCAACTTCGTCTGCAAACCGAGAGGCACTGCCGAGGAATATTTGTTGAATTGTCTCATAAACCTACACATAGCCCTAAAATCAACAACTCATGTCGTAGGTTAAATATTCTTTTCATTAACCACCAACTCTCATAAATGTTTAGGCACTTCAACAGTCGTTTCGGCCAATTTTCCATAAGAATGTTAGCGTTTTTAAAGTGATTAAAGCTTATTCAACGGAAGTGATGAGGATACGACTTTCTACCCTAATACACAGTTCTGCAGAAAGTCTGAAACACTGTTTTGAAATAAGCATTTGAAGAAATTTGCTTGAGATACACTTTAAAAATATATTTCAAATGTAATGGAAGCACAGAGTTCTAAACCACTAATGTAAATGAAATGTTTCTAATTATTTTTCAACATCCTGCTGATTTGCAGGTTTCGTTTTGAGAGTTATGCCCCTTTTAAAAATGCAATTTATTTAAATACCTTCTTTTCTCTAGATATTTCGTGTAAAATCTAGAAAATGTTAAAAAAAAATATTTCCTTCATTAAAAATTCGTACAAAAACAAGAATGTGTCCAGTGTTTATACCTTGCACTCATATTTGGTTGTATGGAGTAGATGGGTAATAGTCCTCTCCTCATTACTTCCGTTGAATAAGCTTTGACGAAGTTGGCAACCTTGTTGATTTATATATATAGGGTAGGGTAGATTTTATAAAATGTTTGTTTTAGGTAATTTTTCGAATTGTTGCTATAAATTATATCACAAATATGTCATTGAAAGATAATTTATGAGAAAAAAGTCGAAAAGGCCCGGAGGTCTATATCGGGGGAGGGGGGGGGGGTCCTGTCCTCAAGCACCTTTGCTAGGGCTCGACATTAACGCTTGTCCGCATGTCCGGTACCAGTGAAAAAAATTACGGACAAGTGAATATTGCTGGGCACTTGTCCGCTTGGACAAGTGCATTTTAATGTAAAGGAGTCTCTAAATAATAAAAAGAATGACTGTTGAAAGTTAATCGGTAGTTTCAAGACGGAAGCTGTACATAAAAACCGGACTTCGATTCACATTCGATCGGGATCGAAGTTCACTAATTGCATACTACTGAAAAGGCATGGAACTTACGAACTTAACAAAGTTTGGATTCTGTTTGATGTTGACAGGTTCACTTGTTGTCAGATAAAATTTCGTTTTATGTGTTTGTTGTATTTATCAATAACATTACAAATAAATCAAGCACATGTCATGTGTAATGGACTTTATTTTAGTTTTCACTTTTCAATTTGACAGTATCAGATCTTTATTGAAAAATTTTCGGACAGGTGAAGTTGAATGGCCAAGTAGGGAAAAAAGTTAATGTTGAGCCCTGACTTCCTGAACAAATTGAATTATTTCCATAAAAAAATAAAATTCGGTTTCAGTGTTTTATTATTTAAGTAGTCCCCTCCGGTTAAAATGCACATCTGCCACCTTGTTGCCCATGTGTGAAACATGGTCACGTGACATGCTCATGGCGTACTGTTCACAGCAGCTAAAAGATTTTTCTGAGTCATATTTCTTACCATTTCTTACTATTTTTCATAGCTATAAATCTATAATAGTGCATTTGTCACAAATGGCCAAATCTCGGCAATAGGATGGGTGGATTAGTTATCTTTTCCCAGAATGAGCATGGTGACCAACACAACTCGCTCCACTCTCTCAAGTGTGTCGTTTATCCAATGTGAATCAAGTATGGGCATCTTCTCTTTAATATCATTTCTGATATGTATTAAGTCTATAGTAAATGATATTTTAGGGATTTAAAAATTATTTTATTATAATAAAATTTAAGATATTCAACTACTTTTCTAACTGTAACTTGATCTTCCATAATAAATTGCTCAACTAGGGACACATCTCTTTCCCAGCTCATTTTCACTGGGCATCAGAACAAACATCATTTTAAACCATCTCCCTTCTTTCACTAAAACAATCAATCCAGTTAATGATTGAGCTTCTGGTAAGTCCTTTGTCTTCATAAACCTTGCACAAATTATATGCTACTGCAAAGATTTATGTTAAACTTTACAGCCGTTTTTGCTCGAGTACGATTGAGTAATTTAAATTTTTTGTCACAGGTCATCTACATATTGAAGTCATTTTCACATTGTGACGTCGTTAACATGGAGCAAAACATTACCTAACACCTGCTATTTATAGAACATGTTTATGAATATACCTGTGCCAAATTTCATTCTGATCTGAATTGTGAATCTGTAAATAAAGAGATAGTTCGCGAATTTTTTGATCACCCCCCCCCCCCCCTATCCAGTTCATTTTTCATTACTTGGTTCTTACAAGTGTTCTTTAAGTATGCTCACTATATACGACTTTGTGTAAAACTGGCTGGTCTAAATAAACAGCTGTTACTTGTAAATTGAGATGTTTTTTTTTTCTTTTTTTCAGGTACAAGACAGGCAAAAACAAATGGTTTTTCCAGAAATTACGGTTCTAAGTTGACAATAAATTATGTTAAAAAAGTAATTAAAAGTTGTTCATATTGTTAATGATTTAAAAGGTCAGTAAATTGTAAGATATAAAATATTCAACAGTTTCCCATATCAGATGAAAGATCCAGCTCTTGGTTTTTATAAAAGAGTTTAATTACTCAGATGTAAATTTTAATCCCCGCTTTGACCAAAGTGAGGGACATTAAATCCCATTAGTCTGTCACTGGAACTGTGACTAGACCTGATGAATTTACTATGGTGTTTGACCTCATGACCTTAGCCTTAAAGTTTAACCTGTACATGCTGTACTTTTCAAAATTTTTAATATTGGTAATAGTTTAAGAATGAGAGAAGATAGGCTTTCATATTTTACACAGTCTTCAAGCAGATTATCTAATGACTTAACTAGCCCGAAGAAATGTTAATATGTCAAGAATTTCATTTATTAATTATACCCCCGCTCCGAAAGAGAGGGGTGTATACTGTTTTACCCTTGTGTGTCTATCTGTCTGTCTGTCCGTGTCTCTGTCCGTAACAAATTTTCGTCGCAGTTTTCTCAACAACTACTCATCACAGATGTTTGAAATTTTAGCACAATATTTGTTTAGCCATGCCATATGATGGGATTCATTTTTGTTCAAATCCGATGTCAACTTCTTGTTAATCCGTGTGTCTGTCCGTACCATACATAACAAATTTTGGTCGCAGTTTTCTCGGCAACTACTCAGCGCAGATGCTTGAAATTTTAGCACACTAGATGAAATCCCGCGCAAGCGCGGGGAATTGAATTTATACCACTACCGACAGAAAAAATCCAATAATATATATATTGTGTATACATTTATACATATACATAATATACATAGTTTTTACTGACAGTCTACAGGCTTATAGCAGGAAGAAATACTTTGTTCAAAATCCAGCATGAAGTAGAAGTACGTCTCCACCCCCACCTTTGTAAAACTTAAATAATTTCATTAATACGTTATATTTCCATTAGTGAACTCTTCAAAATTAGAGGCGTGTTTGGTCGTCTGACAGGGACAGCATGGCGTTGCGGATAATACAAAACATGCCAATCTCAATCCGATTTTTAATGTTAAATGTATTTGTCATTCCAATTAAAGAATGGAAGAACTAAAAGACATATGTAAGAGAGCGAGAACCCTAAATTTATCATCCATTAATAAAAAATACGACTTTTCCGAGGCATGTATATTGTATTTAGATGTAGCATACGATAAATAGATACATACGATCAACAATATAGATATAAATTGATATCGTTGTCATTCCTACTCTTGATGTATATAAAGTCCACAACAATAAAATATTTCATTTGCATTTTCTTAGGATTTGTTCATCGACATTCAACATACTGTTTACATGTTTACGTTACGTTTGTCCCTGAAATCCCGCGAGATTTGTACATTTACCGACTTTTTCACAAAAGAGCTCACTAAGAAGTATAACTCTTCCATAGTGGAAATAGAACGTATTGACGTTTATTGTGAAACCTGTTATATACTATGTTACATGTATGGATATTGTATATATTGTGTTATGGATATTGTACTTCAGATGCTCTTATTTCATTTCCGTCAAGAAATGCACATTTTGCTGAGAAATTGATTTTTTTTTTTTGTAACAGGTACTTGGTTCTTGGTTTATAAATATGTATGTACCTTATTGATATGTAAAAACTGTACCTTACCTCATTTTTTTTTTTTTTTTACATATCAATAAGGTACATACATATCTATAATCCAAGACCCAAGTACCTGTGTAAAAATTAGCTTTTATATAACGCCTTATGAGTACACTGGCGGATTTAGAGGGGGCAGACCCCCTCCCGTTTTGTGTCCAAAATATACATAAAATTTAATAAATCATCAAACTGCCCCCCCCCCTTTCAAGATTCCTGGATCCGCCAATGGAATAGGCCGAGTATTTGACACAAAAGACTATATTCAGAAAAAACTGAAATGTATTGATTAAAGCACAAAATTTAACAGCATAATTGTATTTGAACAATGCCTTATTCATTAATTTTCTCTTTTCATGTAAGCAAGTTTATTACAAAGTACAAATTGTACTTCGGGTTCGTTGCCACGATGCTCTCAGTGAGGAATATATACAAATTTTACCGATAAATTTATCAGGAAAACCTACTAAATATAAGTAATAGTCTTTCGATATATAAATATATTTACAACTTACAGTGTTATCAATGATTTACCATTATTTCAATGACCATTCACACAAAAGCTTTTTTTTTTTTGTTAAAGCAGCTATTTTCTTTTTAACATCGGGCTCGATGCTACATGATGTTCTAGAAGCTTCCGTCAATATTACGATCGGTGAATGACGGAAATAATTTGCACATTTTCCTTTTTAATCGGTTATCACAACTTATTTCTTTTATATCATTTAAATCAAGTTTTGATTGAATTATACAGTAATGACGTTTAATGAAATAAATAAACGATTGCATGTTGTCAGTTTCATTAAAAATAGCCAGTAACTTAGATCCGCCAACCGGAAATGCCACCGTACTCACGTTTTTGCTATTTCATGGCTGTTTATAGAAAATAAAAGTAGACTTTTAATTTAATGTACGATACTTACAATGCAAGTGAAATCTAAATATAGTTTACGGACATCATCTTGTATCATGTGTATTCTTAGAAGAGTAAGTAAGAATTCTGGTGCAGGAGTTTCGGACTTTATTTGCAAAATGTATTAATTTATAAGTATAGAATCTTTGTTGAGGCATGCCATATAGTCGGATTCATTTTTGTTCGAGTCCGATGTCAACTTCCTGTTTATCCGTGTGTCTGTCCATACCAAATTTCCTTCACATATTTCTCAGCACCTACTCAGCGTAGATGCTTGAAATTTTAGCACAATCTTTGTTTAGGCTTGCTAAATGGTGGGGTTTATTTTTATACGAATTAGATATCAACTTCCTGTTTATCCGTGCGTCTGTCCATAACAATTTTTTTCAGTTTTCTCAGCAACTACATGTACTCATCACAGATGCTTGAACTTTTAGCACATTCTTTGTTTAGGCATGCCATATGGTGGGATTTTTTTTTTGTTTAAATCTGACGTCAACTTCCTGCTTATCCATGCGTCTGTCTGTACCACATTTCCGTCACAGATTTCTCAGCAACTACTCAGCAAGATGCTTGAAATTTTAGCACAATCTTTGTTTAGGCATGCCAAATGGTGGGATTTCATTTTTGTATGAATTCGATGTCAACATGAGAGGGTAACCGTATTATATTCACATCAGAGCGGGGTAGTGAGTATTCGCTCACAGACTTCTTGTTTTTTTTTGTTTTTTGTTTTTGTTTTTTTTTTTTGTTTTTGTTTTTTTTGTTGTTTGTTTTTTTTTTTTTTTGGCCTTTTTATGCCAGGGATCTTCACGGAAATCATAACCAATGCACTTCTTAGCTCACCTGACTGAAAACTCAAGTGAGCTTTTCTGATTACCTATCGTCCGTCCGTCCATCTGTAAATTTTTCACATTTTTAACTTTATAGGGAAATTAAAATTGTTAAACACCCAATTTTATGTTAACGCCCCCAAAATCTACCTAATTCAAGATCAATAATATACCGCCTGTCAGTCATTAAAAAAACAATGGCTTTTGATTTGATTGACAGGCCAGCTTCGTGGATACCTGATATTCTGAGTTTGCATGTTTTGAAATCAATTACCTGGTCAAGCGTCAAACACTTTAATGTACCATGTGAATGGTCTCTGTATACACTCTGGTTAAAAAAAAATCATGTCGCTGTTATATTGGTTGGTAATTTTATTTTTCAAAAATAATTGAGAGTAGATAATTAAACAATGACTTCGTGATTTTTTTTTCAATCTACACTGCTGTTTTGTACTTGTTAGCGATATGACGTCCAAGATAACTGTAGAACTTTTCGGGGAAAAATAGGGGCTATTCAAGTCCTCTCGTCCTTCAATGACGGGGGTCCGGAGAGGGAAGAAGTTCCTATAGCATCACAGACCGATAATTCTTCCGAGCCACCTATTCAACCTGTTCCTGGATTTTAAGAATGTCCATAATTCCCTAGTTAGAATAATCTAACTGTGTCTCGGGGCAGGCCCTCACCACAGTTAGAATACGTCCCATATACTTGCAATGTAGCAAATCGGAGTTGATCCACTCCGAAATGATTTTGAAGAATACAAAAGAATGACTACCAAATTAATCATAACAAACCTTTTTGAGATTGTATATCCCTTTTAACCTAAAAAGTAATCCATATAAATACGAAAATTCAACTCATTTTCTCAACGTTTTTTCCTCGCTTCAAATTTAACGCCATGTTGACATTCGGAACTTTCTGGATTGTTCACAGAAAATGCACAGAGTTCGAGTTATCGCCCGAGTTTATTTTGCAACATTGCCAATACACGGAACGAATTCTATCGTTAAACCGGGTCCGTAGGACAATATCATTTTAACGATAGAACGTTCTATCTAATAATTCCCCTGTCGACCTTGCACTAGGGTACACAGAAACTCAGTTCTCCGTAATTGGAAGCAATCGACCCCCTCCCCCACAATTGAAAATTATAACAAAATGCAATGGAATAAATGAGAAAAAATATTTACACTATCATAAAAAAAGTACTAAGCTTGTATCTAACGTCATGCATTACGAAAGATTCCCTTGATATCCAAATCTGTAAACAAAACACAGAACCTTGGAAATGGTGAATATTTGGTCCCCGCTGTCGGCCAGAAAAGTAAAGTTATAATATTCCGATCGTGGTAAATGTCAACACAATAAGTTGAATCTTTTTATTCCAATATTCACACTAATATTTGATAATAATTTCGTTTATGGACGATTAAAATATTGATATGATTGCTTTGTAGTTTTCAACCGTAATTTTTTTTTACAGTTTAAAAAAAAAGATAATTCTTTTGAAATTTCTTTCTTCAAAAGATATTGACGAAATCGTTAAGTCTACAAATTTTATATTTAAGTACATAATTTAATTTTAGATATTTTCACTCAAATTTATGCGCAAAACGCGTTTTTGTTGATACCGATTACCAAA